CAGGTTTACCAATCGAGTGTTTTTCACAATTTGAAAATTAACTACCGAGAGTTAGATTAACATGATAACCTACCAGCATGAGTTTAGAGTCCTTTTTCTCCCATAACTTTCATATTTTATCTGGAAAGCCATATGTTTCCCTTAAAAATACACTTCCGATGGGGGAAAAAATTGCCGTGAATCATGACGTCACAAAGGAAGATGAAGTCCCAAAGCATTGTTACGTGACGACATAAGTAAAAATTTGACCAATGAAATCACGTCCAGGGTGTTACCCACTACTGAGTAACCAAAAATGTTTACCAGGTTTATCCAAATAATCAGGAGTGAGGAAACCTACAGTGGTTATGGGAGAAACAGAAGTTACATTTACAAGCAAGCCTTTCTTTTGTCAAACAGAGACGAACATTCTATCAACTCATCATAACAACCTTCACAAGAAACTGTTTAAACAGAAAAACAACAAATTTACTCTGATTGATATAATTAACCATGTTTTAATATCTTTAGTATATAATTGTAATGTATTTCAGTTTAATTCAAAATACAGCATGTCGTATTGACGATTGCACACATTTCATCTTAGACCCATTGTTGGGGTAGGTACATATGTACTTAATCTCTTGTGTAATTCTGTATTGAACACATCTATGAATTATTTAATTTCTTGAAGTATTGAATAATGTAATGTATTTTGGTATCTGTGTAATGAAATGTTTATTTCACTATGAAGTTAATGATTATTTATGTTTCCAACTCTCGTGTAATTTAGATAAATGTCGGAACACGTTTAACTAGATTTTAATGAGTTTCTATTGTTATTAAAGACAACGTAACTTGTGAAAATATAGATGGTAAACTTTGTTACACATAAGACACGTTGCTGTGTGTAGGATAAGTACCTGTCAGGGAGACGGATGGTGTTCCCTGGAGGTCTCCTCCAGCGATGCGGTCAGTGTCCAGTTTGTATGTGTCCTGTAATCTCAGCAATGCTACCACAGCCCCATTTAAATCCTCATAAGATGGAAGGCTTTCCTTCAGCTTTTGAATGCGCTCCTCCAAATCTGTAGATGACACAGGGTGTACATTTCCTATTACCATGTACAGTAAAGCAAAAGATATTTAGTTAACAAGAGGCCCAGAGGGCCTGTATCGCTCACCTGGATAATAAACCAACCCTGGGAAATTATTCTTATTACATAAAATTCCTCCAATGGTACTGAAGAATAAGGATTTTGAAGACTGTAACCTCAAATTCCCCTTTTGGGCCCCGTAACTCTGCACCCAGAAGGGCAACACCCTTCATTTATACACAATGTTGTCCCGATTTGCCAAAGAATACTCCATGCCAAATTTGGATAAAAAAAATCTCCAATAGTACAGAAAAAGAAAGATCAAACCTCGTTTATACAAAATCTAGTCCCCTTTACCAAATGATGCTCCAGGCCAAATTAAGATAACAAGAGGACCAATGGGCCTGCATCGCTCACCTGGTATAAATCTCACACTTGTAATCTTAAAAGTGTAATATCAGTACCCTGGGCCTTTTGGTTATTGAGAAGTTGTATGAAGATTTTATGACATTTGACCCCTGTGACCTTGAAAGTGGGTCAAGGTCATTCATTTGAACAAACTTGGTAGTCCTTCATCCCAGTATTTTACAGGCCCAATTTCAGTACCCTGGGTCTTTTGGTTATTGAGAAGTTGTTTGAAGATTTTATGACATTTGACCCCTGTGAACTTGAAAGTGGGTCAAGGTCATTCATTTGAACAAACTTGGCAGCCCTTCATCCACGCATGCTACAGGCCGAATATCAGTACCCTGGGCCTTTTGGTTATTGTGAAGTCGTTTGAAGATTTTAACATATTTGACCCCTGTGACCTTGAAAGTGGGTCAAGGTCATTCATTTGAACAAACTTGGTAGTACTTCATCCCAGTATTTTACAGGCCCAATTTCAGTACCCTGGGTCTTTTGGTTATTTAGAAGTTGTTTGAAGATTTTAACATATTTGACCCCCGTGACCTTGAAAATTGATGAAGATCATTTATTTGAACAAACTTGGTAACCCTTCATCCAAGCATGCTTCTGGCCAAATATTATCACCCTATGCCTTTTGGTTACTGAGAAGAAGTTGTTTAAAGTTAAAAGTTGACGCCGGACAGACGCCGGATGCCGCACCATGCCCTTCAGGCCAGGTGAGCTAAAAATTTAGTCCCCTTTGCCTAAGGATGCTCCAGGCCAAATTTGGATGAAATCTCTCCAATGGTTCAGAGGAAGAAGGATTTTGAAGACTGTAACCTCAAATTCCCCTTTAGGGCCCCGTAAATCTGCTCCCAGAAGGGCAACCCCCTCCATTTACACAAAATTTAGTCCCCTTGCCCTAAGGATGCTCCAGAACAAATTAGGGGAAAAAAACCTTCATCCCTACAGTAAAAGAAGGATTTTAAAAGTTAACCTCTATTTCCACCAGGAGGGGCAACGCCATCCGTTTATACAAAATTGAGTCTCCTTGGCCCAACGATGCTCCAGGTCAAATTGAGATTAAATCTTTGGTCAATGTGAAGTTAACTACCTTGTCTCAGTCATGTGTAGTTACCTCCCCTGTCTCAGTCTGTACCTTACCTGGTCTATGTGTAGTTACCTCCCCTGTCTCAGTTTGTGGTTAAACTTTACTCTGTTTGTGTATTTACCTCCCTTGTCACAGCCTATGTTAAAAGTTTACCTGGTTTTGGTGTAGTTATTTCCCTTGTAACGTCTCTGTCCCAGTCTATGGTAAACCCTTTTATCAACAAGTAAGCATTGACAGGATTTCCGAGGAATTTTTCTGGATTTTCTTGCACGCGTCTGCTGTGATTATCCATGTCTGCAGCAAGTCTATAAAGTAAGATTACATCAAAGTTTATTGAAAGTACACTTTACGCTACACATCAAGTAACTTCAGATATCATTACCGAGTCTTCAAAATAATTATAAACTAACAGACTTTACCATGGTTAACTGACCTAAGTTTGTGAAGTAGAACATGTTAACCATTATATAAATTTCTTCCACAACCACCATTAGTTTTCTCACTCACATTTCATTGGATAAAGAGTTGGTGAGAAACGTTTGGTCATCCCCTAGAAGGTTACACCCTGGAAGTGATTTCAGTGGTCATTCTATTAAGGTAATCCATGTCAAATACACATTTTTTTTCGAAGAAAAAAAATATCTATATTTTTATTTTCCACACACATGTGTGAAGTCTTTCCTAAATTTTTATGAACTTTTACCGCATATTTTTCAAGTTTTGATGCATTTCATAAGTACACCCCATGGGGGCCCCTTTCTGTTCAGGGTCCAATTAAATGGCAAAAGCCTTCTCTATGCAGACAGTTATGATTTTATTTTACTTTTTGCACACCATATACTTTTATATACTGACAATTAGGCCAAACATTGTAGATTACAACAAATATAACAAAAATGATTCTTTACAGAAATTCAAAAAATGAAAATTGCATTTATTCATATTCCATATTGCCATAAAATTCAAATTTTTGTACTCCATTTTGCATGGTAAATGTTGGAAAAAATAATTTTAAAAACTAGAAATATGTCAAAATGACATGAAAGTCACCCCGGGGGTATCTCCTGTATGATAATTTTCAGATAAATCATTGACCAAGCTACAACTGATATATTTCCACCTATCAATCAAAATGGTCTAACAATGAACAGAGTGTTAATACATACACGCTGTTTAGGTAGCCATGCCAACACATGGAATTAATAAGAAAACATTTGGCAAATATAACGTTAGCGTTGACCGACACCTCGAATACGGGGAGATCTGCATGCTGACACGGTCACCTGGCATGGGCAGAACAGGTAATTGGAATATAACGATGTTACGACGGTAAGTTTCAGAAAAGATTCAATCTTATATACGGATAACGATGTCCGCTCGATATCTCGAGTAATTATTAACGGATTAACTTCAAACTTCACAACAAGGTTAATTACCATGAAACCTCGGACAAGTTCGATAACCGCCATTATCCGACCATAATTTGTGGAGTTATGCCCCTTTATGGACTTGCCAAAACAGTGTCCGCTCGATATCTCGAGTAATTATCAACGGATTAACTTCAAACTTCACAACAAGGTGAAAGCTCAGACAAGTTCGATAACCGCCATTATCCGACCATAATTTGTGGATATCCGCTCAATAACTAGAGTGCCTTACAACGGGCACACGAACAATGTCTGCTTTTTTTATGGAATTCCATGATGGTGTGGCATTTAATGGAGTGATGCCCCTTGCTTCCAGTGCAGGTAAGTTTTGTACTTAGTCGGTTTATTGTATTTTTATATATTGCATGTAGATGGTTTGCATTGTTGTTATGTATATTATGGCACCTTCAAACTATGTGACAATCTGCTATTAAATTGAGATGATGCATTTAAAAAAAAACAAGAAATTAAGAACATTTTAAACATTTCCTTTAGAACTTATAAAACATTTACATAGGATTTCCACATGGTTTGAAATAATGTGAATTCATTTTTTCTTGTGGGCTCCAAATTTCGTGGCTTGATTAAAATTGACAACTTTATGGGTACTTCCAATTCTTAAATTAGTGTATTTCTCGTATATTTCCTTTCTTGTGACATTGACTTTCTATTCAGGATTGCATGAAATCCATGAAAATGAGTGCCCAACAAATAATAGTGAATTCACAGTATTATGGAGAAGTGAAGTGAAGTTTGTTTCATTTCTTCATGACCTGCCTCCTCGTGGTGGTGCCGGGCAACATGAACCACTCATTCACATCATAGCCTCCTTGTGGTGGTGTCGGCAACAGCATATATTTCTTCACTAATAATCACTTACAAAAATGTTATTGTAACAGCCTTTTACTTATTGTGCAGTGTATATATTGTAACAGTCTTTTACTTCTTGTGCAGTGTATATACTTTGCATTATAAAACCATATCTACTGCTAATTTGCTTATATATAACTTACCTCACTCATTTTCATTCTGACAATTTGCTTTTGCCATGTACATGTATGTGCTTGACTGCTTGATGGCAGAAAGGTCATTTCCATTCACAGCTATTCCATGCATCATAAGCGAATCTACTACATCATCATCATCCAACTAATTCATCTTTCAGTTTCTATAGACATTCATCTGTTGCAAAGAACATCTTTGTAAAAGGGAAATACCTCTTGTCTGGCACAAGTGGTGAATAGACTTTATATAATTATAAATTTATACATATTTAATCATCCATATCATTTGCAGATCATGGATTCCTTTCATCAGATTAAGAGCTCTACCTTGCAAATAACCGGACTGCTTGCCAGGCTCACAGCAGGCCAGATAACTGCTGGTTCTGCCCTAGATCAAGTCATGTTCATAACAAATGCCATTGACTCTTCTGCAGAGGCCATGGAAATGGCAAATAGAGAACTACGGAAAAAAAAATGCTGCACACTGTAAACAAATATATCAACAAAACAAGACCGTCAAAGACCTCCAACAACAATTGTCAGAAAGTAACATTGATGAACTTAACAATTCCATCTCACAGCTTGAACAACAATTACGAAAAAGCAAAACTGACCTTTCCAATTCATTTGAAGTAATATTTGGCGATGAGTTACAGGATGACAAAGGACAGGATACATCCTCACTGACACAAATAGTCTCAACCTCTCCAGAAAGTCCTACTGCCTCTCCAAAAAAACTCTCAAGCTCTCAGAAAAGTGCTGATGTATCTAAAAACAAACGCTCAACCTCTCAAGAAAGTGCTGGTGCATCTACAAAGAGATGCAAATCAAGTTCTCATGGAAGTGTTGGTGCATCTAAAAAATCTCAGGGAAGTGTTGGTCCAGCTAAAAAAAATCCTCAAGCTCTCATGGAAGTGTTGGTGCATCTAAGAATTTTTTTTTGAGCACTCCAGAAAGTGCATCTAAACAAACATGCTCAAGCTCTCAAGAAAGTCTTCCTGCATCTCTAAATGCACCCCCAAAGCAACCAACAGGAAAACGACAGGACATGACCTCAAGTTGTCAACCTCCACAAGAAATCCAGGGAGATGGAAAGACCATGCATCCTTGAGAAAACTTGACAACTTTCTTCCGTTCATATTGGAAACAGATAGTTTCTCTTTTTTTGTTATAACTATATAAACAATCACTTTTTTGTTGATTGTTATCGTACAGCCTGCACAAGAAACACAGGAAGAGGGCAAGACCATGTATCATCGAGGAAACATCACAAGGATAATCATGATTGACATTGAACTATGCCTTCATGCACTATATACCGCTCCATACTATTAACTATCTCATTTAATTTTGGACTAGACAAATATATGCAATACACATTTCCTTATACCACAATACACAAAAAACCAATATACCTATAGAATGATGAATGATGTACGTACATAGTTTAGTTAATTGTGTCATATTGTATAAAATGTAATGTTGTTCCAATAAATTAAAAGTAAAAAGCACAATGATGAAAAGTAGCCAGATTGATTTCTAACAATCTAGCCAGTGATGTGGTTGTTTCTACAAAGTAGTACTAGCCATCAACATTATTAGTTAGTACTAGCCATCAACATTATTAGTTAATTCCATATTTTTATACCCAAGTCATCACACTAAAACTATCTAAACATTTGTACTGCTATTCATATTCATTGTTACTATTATTATAATTAATATTTTCAGCTCACCTGGCGGTTCAGACATGGGGCCCATGCCCAGGGTCACCAACATAGGCCGAAATTGCATATTAAGCTTTAAAAATGTTCTTCTATGAGCCAGAGGTTCAATCTTTTGACTACATGATGCCTTAGAGATTCAGATTTTGAAAATTCAGCATAATTATAAAATAAACTTACAACCGAACTCAGAGATTAACACATCTCATGATCTAGAAAACATAACATCTACACATATCAGTGATAAATTCAAACTTGGTTAAAACATATGATAGTTTTAAAACACTAGTTAGAGATGGTTACCCACAAGCTGGCGACTACTCCAAATTGATTGCTAACGATCTAACCAGCAAACTGGTTACTAGTATTCCTACAAAGCAATACTAGCAATCAACATTATTATTAGGTAATTTGCGTATTTTTATACCTAAGCCATCATACTAGAACTAACTTTTCTACTGCTATTCATATAATTGTTACTATTATTATAATTAATATTTTTCAGTTTTATATAGATTCGCATATGATTGCAAAAATTCAGCTCCATCAATGGAAATTTATTACAATTAATATCATAGTTGTGAATATTTATTGGCTAGTAAGAGATGGTTACCCACAAGCTAGCGGCTACTTTCTGAGTGTTAACTGCCCTGCTAATATTATGTATATTCCGTTGTTCTGTAGTGTACTCATTATATATAAACATTTATTGCCTCGTGTATCACCGTCAAGGAAATATGATGCACATGCTTTTAATATCTCCTTATATTACTAACATTGCCTATTCATTACATTACCACAATGATAATAACCATTCTATAATATTCTTCCCATATAAAGCATATATTTATAGGATATATAATAAGTGGGGATGTAATATCAGTTATATCCAATTGAGTTAGTTAATTCGTAAATAAAACCACAAGCTTTTAATTAGCAAGTGGTTTTATTAATATCAACAAAAAACACAACCATCTGGAAGTTGTATAACGTATATCAGTTATGAGATAAATTTCTTTCTTCATCTGAAATTTCTCACAAATCAAAATATTACATTGTTCTTATTACATTTTGTTTTAACTATACTTTCCTTGGCATTATTTATGAGTATTACAAAATTAACATATAAACTAATGTTTTTAGTGTTTCT